AATCAAACTTAGACAATTCCTACTCCAGTCCATTGTCAATCATCAGTAAAATGATGGAAGGTTTCATCAAGTGTTTTTAAAAAATTGCTTCGTAATAACCTGCTCAATGATCAATTTGTGTTCTGCCAGACCCAATCAGCTCCTGACCTCATTTCAACCTTCGTTTAAACATGAGCTGCATTCCAGAGGTGAGAGTGACTGCCCTAGACATCAAGGTTGCATTTGACTGAGTGTGGCATCAAGGAGCCCGAGCAAACTAAAGTCAATAGGAATCAGTGCATATCCCTTGCCTGTCACAGACCAAAGAAACACAATCGTAGATGTTGATCAGTTATCTCAACTCTAGGACATCTTCACAACAGTTCCTCCAGAGAATGTCCTCAGGCTATCCACCTTCAGCTGCTTCACTGATGACCTTTCATCCATCGTAAGGTCAGAAGTGGGGATGTTCACTGAAGTTCAGCATTAGCGTGAAGTCAAGAGTGTGAAGGAATCTCAGAAACCCTACAATGCAGAAAGAGGCCATTTCGCCCACTGAGTCTGCACTGACCTTCTGAAGAGCATTCCACCCAGACACACCCCACACCCTAACCCTGTATGGCACCTTTACCACGGCTAATCCACAAACACTCCCCACTTGCTTTGAGTGCTGCTTCAACAACATTCCAGCAGGTTGATACCATTCAGGACAAAAGCAGCTCATCACAATGACAAACATTCACTCCCACCACCACCAGCAGTGTACACCATCTACAAGATGTACTGCTGAAATTCATGCAAGCACCTTCAAATCCACACGCACTATCAGTTAGGAGAACAGCAGCTGATACATGGGAACACTATTACCTGCAAGCTCTCCTTCCAAACCACTCACCATCCCGACTTGGAAATATATTGCCATTCCTTGTGTCACAGGTTCAAAATGGCATAGTTGGTCTACCTAGAGCACATGGACTGCAGCAATTCAAGGAGACAGCTGGTAATGGGCTACAAATGCTGGTCCAGCAAATGACACCCATATCCTATGAATGAGTAGAAAAAAAAAGTTTGTTTCAAATGTGCCTTTTCCAAACTTGACATCATTTTGCTTTTTGTTTTGTTATCAGTCTTCACTACTCCAGTATTTTCCAGACTCTTGACTCAATGCTCACATTCGACATCATACTGATGTCCAATCATTAACCATATGACCTCAGAAATTCAATTACCTTCTACCAATTCAGTGCCCTCACACTCTCAAACTATTTACCAATATATGAAGAGGGGTAGGGCATTCAGCCCCCCTCAGCCTGCTCCCCCATTCAATAAGAGCACACAAATCCATATTTCTGACTACCCCAAAAACTTTTCACATCCTTCCTTAACAAGAATCTATTCACCTCTGCCATAACAATGTTCAATGACTCTACTTCAGTTCTCTCTTCAGGAATAGAGCTCCAAAGATTCCCAAACCTCAGAGAAAAAGTCTTATTAGTTTTAAGTAGGTAATGCTTGATTTTTAAACTGGGGCCCTTATTTCTTGTTTTTCCCATAACAGGAAACATCACTTCCATATTGACTGTGTCAAGACTCCATCAGTTTCTTATGTTGCAGTCAATCTAGTTGCCTGGCAATGTCATCAACAACCCATTAGCTTAAAAAAACCATTTCCTTTGTTCAAAATAATGGAACTGGCAGTACATAAATGTTTAAAAAAGTGTCAATGTTGACTACAATTCTGGCAGCTCCACTGCATACACCGTACCACAGATAGTAGAAAATTCTCACGTGGCGCACAGTTGGGAGATGATCCCAGATGATCTCAACCAGAGCAACAAGTAGGAACATTAATATGGGTAAATGCAAAGTATTGCATTTTGGTAAAATGAATGAGGGCAGGACTTGTACAGCTAACGATAAGGCCCAAAGTAGTGCTGTCAAACAGAGAGATCTAGGGGTTTGGGTGCATAGTTCCTTGAAAGTTGCATCACAGGGAGACAAGGTGGTTAAGAGGGTGTTTAGCACACTTGCCTTCATTGCTCAGATGCCCGGGTGGGGCGTCACGTTGAGGTTGTGCAGAATATTGATGAGGCCACTTTTGGAGAACACTGTATAGTTCTGGTCACCCAGAAGGATTTATTGTTACCAAGACTTACCAAGATGTTGCCAGTTCTGGAGGGTTTCAATTATAAGGGGAGGCTAGATAGGTCGGGACTGTTTTCAGTGGTGCATAGGAGATTGAGGGGTGACCTTGTAGAGGTTCATAAAATCATGAGGGGTATAGATAAGGTGAATAGGAGAAGTTTTTTTTCCCTAGAGCTGGAGAGTTCTAAACAAGGGGCATATTTTTAAGGCCGAAGGAGAAAGGTTTGAAAGGGACCAGAGGGGCAACTTTTTCACACAGAGGGTGGTTCATATGTGGAATGAACTGCCAAAGAAAGTGGTAGATGCAAATACAGTTACAACATTTAAAAGGCACTTGGACAGGTACGTGAATAGGAAAGGTTTAGAGAAATACAGGCCAAAGGCAGGCAAGTGGGACTAGCTTAGTTTGGGAAACTTGGATGAGTTGGACTGAAAGGTCTGTTTCTGTGCTCAACAATTAGGCTTCATAATCCTGGTTGCTCTCCACTGACTTCCAGAAGAAGTGAATTGGTGCGGCGGTTAGACAAGGTCAGGTCAGGTTTAAAAACAATACCCAATTCCCCAGTCAGAAAGTATACTGCCGATTACAGTCTGGACAAATTAAAATACACTGATGTATGGCCAACAGATGCAAAATGCAGGATAACAACAACAACAAAGCGGGTCACCCGAGACTTGGAACTAACTTTACCAGGCATTTTTCTTCTGCTATTGCCATGCATCAATCCACCGACATAGGAGACGTCCACAAAAAAAGGTTGGGAAGATAAAACAAAAAGGCAACTATTGTACAAACTGCAAAGGCCTGCTATTGCGTTAAAGGCTATAACACAAAATGGTATTTACAAACCATTTAGTCGGATTCCCGTGATTTATGGCATAGCTGGAACTCTTCCAGTCAATTACTCCCAGGAGTCCTATTGTACGTAACACATCGCAATGATCGTTCGCACATTGGCCTTTTAAACAGATAAAAACAACAACTGGGCCGAGCTTTCCTATCGCATTTTCAACAGTTGGAACGCCTCCAAAAGTCTAGTGCTAGATATCTGGTGCCCCCTTGAGCCAAGCCATTCATAAATTCAGAACAAAAGCCCTTTTTTATTTCTCTTCAAGCATCTAACAAACCCAAATCATTTTACATCTTGCGTGCAATAGTTTCCCGCAATCCAAGTGTTGCGCATCTGAATCTGCACAGAATGGGTTAATGCATGATCAAATCCAGGAATGCTTTCACTTCAAATCGCTTCCGATTTTCTTTTTTGGAAACAGAAACTGGTTTGCATCCAAGTACTCAAGCCTTAGTCGTGAAATATACGAGGAATAGATGCCTCTTAGACCATGTAGAGACGAATAAAGGAACAGGATCAGACCACTGAACCGACTGGCTTTGTGTGCACTGGTTACGATGTAAAATGAATGTCAATTACAGAGGAATTGGAGGACCCAGCTCCCAGCACCATCTGGCAGACAGGTGGGTTGTGCTGCAGCTCTTCCCTTGGAGACCATTAGCACCGCCGACCGACCACCCACCCACCCCCCCACAGGGAGGGGTTTAGGGAGGTGTAGGAGGAGGGGGTGAGGGGGGGAGGGAGGGGTTGTAGGAGGAGGAGGGGGGGGGGGGTGTAGGGGGGGGGGTGCAGAGACGCAGGCGCACTCTTGTCTCCGGGACCATCCCTCCTGTTTAATCCTCTAATGCAAAAGCCCACTGCAGCACACACATAATCCCTTTTTTCGCTGCCATTAACAGCAGTACCGTTAGCGGAGGCTGGGAGGCGGCTCACGCTGCATTGTGCAGCCGCTGGAATATTCTGTCAACTGCTGATAATACCAGAGCCTGCCATTATCAGCGTGAGAGCACAACGCCAGTGTTATAACTGCGCTGATGCAAACACATCTTAAATACCACTGCCCAAATCGGTGGGATAACGTGTTTTTTTTTCTTAACATAATTCTCTCTTCGCAGTCCTGCTCTTGCAAAAACAGTACGCCCGTTCCAATCGATTCTTACATTACCACGTAAATGATCACCGCGCCGATTCTGATCTACAACTGTGAATCGAGTGGGGAGGGGGAAGATCTTAATTTATAAATCAATAATGGGAAGCTGGAAACAGAACAAAAGAGAGACCATTCAATCAGACTTCTTCCCCCCACATCCCCCCCCCTTTCCTATAATCAGCTGCAGACAACCGGCGGCTTAACAGAGGAGAGACGCACAATTTTCCTGAAATTCCCACGCAGACAAAGACACGTTGGATCCCGCATTGTCTTCAGCAAATATTTTCCGATTTTATTTCCTTTTGTCTCTCCCCCAAACCCCTATCTCCGCACAGCCCCTCAGAAACATATAAGGGGGAGGTGGGTGGGTGGGTGTGTGTATGGATGGGTGGGGATACCAGAGATTTCCCTTCCCGTTGTTTGCCAAGAATGGATGACAGTGCTGAAAAAAAAGGACAGAATGAGAGCAGGGAGGAGAGGGCAGTTTAACATATGGGGAGCGGGGGTAGGGGTGTGGGGGAGGTTTAAGCAAAAATAAAAGGAACAAAACGCACTGGAGGGGATAACAGGCAGACGAGAAGCAGCAGGATTTTTTTTTAAAGTCCAAATAGCGTTTTGGAGCCCACAGAGCTTCTCCATCCATCGTGGACCACAGCCTAGGGGGAGGGGATAAAAAAAGCAAAGTGCTCCTTTCTGACAGCGTCTGCTTCCCTCTCTCCCCCTCTCTTTCTCTTTCACACACACACATAAACTCAGCTATAAATGGTTTCTGGAAGCAGGCAGGCCCACTCCACCTACATATATATATAAAAGGAAAGGCTTTTTTTCCGCCCAAGCGTGCTCTATTCTTTGTCTGTGGTTCAGATGACACCTACCTGCAGAGCTTCAAGCCGCTGCTTGCTAGAGGTTGCTATCGCGGGTTCGGAGCCTGCAGACTGAAAGTCAGACAGGGAGCGTGAGGGGCGGGGCGGGGCGGGGCGGAGTGCGCGCACACGGCGTGCGCGCCCTCGCCGGAGCCCCGCCCAGCCACCACCCGCAGCGCGAGGCGCGCCTCCGAAGGTTCGAGGGCAGCGGGGGCAGAGGATGCGCGCGCCATCTGCTTCAGTCCCCGTGCGCTGCTGATGCTGATGCTGCACGGGTCACTGGACCCTTCAAGATGCAACTTTTCCGGTCAGTTTCCACGAAGTAGATGCGAAGCGGCGGTTCTTTTTTTTTCCCAGAAAATGCAAAGCAAATTTGTCAGGAAGGAGGTCATTCACTCCCGCGCCACCAGAAGTGACCGAGCTTCCACAACGAAAGCAGCCGTTGACTTCGCACAGATTTGCATACAATGAGATGGGAAAGGATCTCTTTGGATTTCTTTGGGTAAACATGTATTGTGCAAGCAACAATGCCCCTCAGCAGAGATTCTCGACGCCTTTGCTTCGGTATAACTCCAGCCTGAAACGTGCACGTCGCTAAAATAACTAGGAGAGTGGCAGTAACGTGTAATGTTTGGAAAGGTATCTTCAGCCAGCTTGCACGTTAATGCTTGAGCGTATATGATTCTTTTAATCAGGATAGAAAGGTGAAAAACACGCGAGGCAGGGACTCAGAAGAGAGCACTAACAAGAGCCACAGTCTTTGCAAAACTGCAGCACTGCAGGGACATTAGCTGGGAGTTGAGCATAGGTGTTAGTGATAAGGGACATGCATCATAAGGTCAGAACTCATGTTTGCTGATGATTGTACAGTGCTCAGTACTGTTCAGGGCTTTCCAAATGCTGAACTAGACCCTGTCCACATGCAGCAATAGCTAAACAATGTTCAGGCTTGGGCTGGGAAACAGCAAGTATTCTTCATGCCGAGCAATGTCCTTCTCCGACAAGAGAGAATCAAACCATCTGCCCATCACTGAATCCTCCCCCATCAGCATCCTGGGGGCTAAAATGACTGAAACATAAATACTGTGGCTATAAGACCAAGTCAGAAGCTCGAAATTCTGTGGTGAGCTTTACACATCCTGCCTCCCCAAAGCCGGTCCACCATCTACAAGGTACAAGTCAACAGTATGATGGGATACTCTCCACTTGCCGGGATGAGGACAATTCCAACAATGTTCAAGAAGCTCAACGAAGGGTCCAGACCCGAAACGTCAGCTTTCCTGCTCCTCTGAAGCTGCCTGGCCTGCTGTGTTCATCCAGCTCCACAATATACAATGTACAGCAGCTACTACAGTAACTCACTAGGCCTCCTTTGCTACTGCCTGACAAACTTCTGACTTCTATCATTAAGGTCAGGACAGCAGATACATGAGATCAGCACCACCTGCAGGTTCTCATTCAAGACACACACCAGACTGATTTGGAATTATATCACCATTCCTTGACTGGTCACTTGGTCGAAAACAAAAACTGCAATTGCTTTCCTAACAACACTGTGGACCAAGGACATAGCTTGCCATTTCTTCCCAAGGACAATTAGCAATGGATAACAAATATTGGACATATCAGTAATGTTCACATCTTTGGAAATAATTTTTAAATGAGACTGTGCAGTTAACAGGATAAAAACTGCTGTCTGCAGTTGACAGTATAAGTTTCAAAGGCCGTGTTCTCTGCCCATTGCCAGGTTTAAGAACATGTCCACATGACTGGGTGAAACTTGAATTAGAAGGGTGAAGATACACTTGTCATGATCCAGGTGATTACTAATGAGATGGGTAGGATTAAGAGTGAAGAGACTCATATTTGTAGAAAAAACAAGGAGAGACAATATAAAATAAGGGCCGTAATTCTAAAGGGCACACAGAAGTAGAGGGACCTCAGGAGAACCTGCACACACATCACGGAAGATAGCAAGGCAGATTAAACAGTGAATAAAGTATATAGGTTCCTGGGATTTATAAGTAGCAGAACAGAGTACAAAAGCAACGGAGTTATGATGAATCTTTAAAAGCGCTGTTCCAGTCTCAACACAGGTCCAAGTCATGTCGTCACAGTTAAGAGAGGATTTGAATGCACTATAGATAGTGCAAAATAGAATGGTTTGAAGGATTGATGAACTTCAGCCATGTGGTAAATGTGAAGCTCTTCTTGGTAATGAGAAGATTGTAAATAGATTTGTTGGAGGTTTTTTAAATTTCTGAGGGTTCTGGAAAGGGTAGATAGCCAGAAACGGTTTCCATTGATGTAGGAGTTGAGAACCAGAGGGCATTAACATAAGGTAATGGGCAAAAGAAGCAATGGGAGACATGATGAAAAGCTTGCAGGCAATAGGATTAGAATCTGGAATGTTCTGCCTGAGAGTATGGAAGACGCAAATTCAATCAAGGACTTGAAAAGATAATTAAATAATTACCCGAAGCAAAAAGAAAATGTCAGGCGCTACGGAAAAGGTAGGAGTATGAATTTACACAAAATTGCTCTCCTACAGCTGGAATGGAATTGATGGGCAGGAACAGCCTGCAAATGTGCCGTTCTATACTTTGATGAGAACAGCAACGTTTTTTTCTGAGAGACAATGAGAGACAATAGGCTATGGGACACAGTTTCAAAATGAAATGAAGAGAAATGTAATCTCTGTAGGGAGTCATGAATATTTGGGATTCTCAACCAGGGAGAGCTGTGAAGGTTAAGGCACTGTATATATTCAGAGCTGAGACACGTAAATCCTTGAACGATAGAGGAATCGAGTTATGGGAAACAGTAGGAAAGTGGAGGTCAAATTAAATCAACCATGTTCTTATTGAATGGCAGAACAGACTCAAGAGGGAATATGACTTACCCTTACTATTATTTCTCACATTATTTGTTCTTTGGCTTTTGATGCCATTTGAAATCAAATTCTTTTAAATTGATTAGTAGTTTTCATAACTTTTTCCATCTAAACTCCACCTATAGGAATGATTTCTTCTCATTGTTTCTCTTTCTGCCATCTCCCTTAATATGACAAGCCCACTTATAGTTTATTTATCCACTTCAAGTTTATTTATTTGCTTCCTTCTTCACAGTGATCATACGTTTTTTTGTTTCTCCTATGCTAATTAATCAATCCAAACGTTTCAGTCTTTTAAAAGTAAATTACATCAACCATTTCTGTAAACCATTGATACAATAATGTGATACCAAAATATTTTCTTTTATTGTTAGAACATGCCCTCAAACTTTATATAGGTCAAAATGTGATACTTTGTACACATGTTTCCCAAATAGGCCAACTGATGTTATGATTAGTGAAATGGTCAAACAATAAACTGACACCATTTTCATTTTCATGTTACATAAGAGCACGATGGATTGTGTCCACTTAGGACCTGTCTTAGCCTCAGGAACTTATCCCCAGAAAAGTGTTTTGCAGCCAATGAAATATAGTAAGGGTAGGCTCCATTGTATAATGTAGGATCACATAATAACAAGATCCCGTAAACAGCTGGGAGATAATAACTGGATAATCTGTTTATGACATTGAGAACAAAGTAAATGTGTACTGTGACACTGTGAGAACCTCCCAGCTTTCCTTCAAATAATGCACCAGAGTGTCAGTCAGCTGGACAGCTGATTTCCAATGTAAAGAGACGCTGACAGCATGGGTTCAATACGCACAGCAGCTGAAGTAACCAAGAAGGACTCTCCTTTCCCCTGCCTGAGGTGTGGTGACCCTCAGGTCAAACCACCAGCCATCTCTCTCTCTCTATTGAGAGCAGCTCTCTGGTCTTGTCGAGGTTATAGCAACTGTACCTTTTTAAACATTCACCTGAGTAGAAAACTGATGCCCTCATTGAATTTTCCTTCCATTAAACTTCTCTGACAGTGCACCATTTCCTCGCTATGCACTGTCGGTAGCCTCTATTTTCATTACAATAGGAGGTGTTGGCAGTCTGAGATTTGGCTGTAGGCTATCAGAAAGAAGCACTTTATAATGATGCAATAAAGCTCCTGCAGACTGTTGGCCTCCCCACCATTTTCAAAGTCTCTTTTTTAATCTAATGCATTTTGTTTTTTTTTTCACGTCAGTCAATATAAAGAGGGAATAAAGAACATTTTATCTCAGACTAACTTTAGAGCAAATTTACACTGTAAACTTGTCCCATGCAACTATTATTACTTTATCATGAAACATTTTGCTCCGTCCTGACTCTGCATTTGCTAATAAGATGCTGAAATCTGTAACTTTGTTCAGTTCTGTTGAGGGGTCACCAACATAAAACAAGAAGTTAGTATGTACCTCTTTCTGTCTGCTTTTCCTTGCCTCTGCATCCATGCACTGATCACCGTCCAGGTCCTCTGCTTGTAGCTGTCATTTGTGTCTGCCAGCCAGAAAGCTTCTTGCTTAATGTCTATTTTCTAGGTCAAGGAGGGCAGGTCACATGGACCTTTTTTTATCGTTATCCAAGAAAATTATATCTGATACACATTCTTAAGAATTATTTTCAAACATTGCTAAAAATGATTCCAAATTCCAGAGAGCTTTCAAACACAATAAAAGCTTTCCTTACCGCCTTACTCCAGTTTTAGCATTTTTAATTTAGCCATGTCAGTTTGACTTCACTGGCAACTACGGTTTACCAGTTCAAAAAGCTGACTGTTGTCACATAATTTATACAATTTTGTAGTATCGTTGATTAAACAATTCTACAGTGGTTGAGTCTAGGTAACTTTGTCAAGAGCCATTAACATTCCTGTGATTTTCGAATCTCATTACATATAATCCAAATAGAAATGAAATTCTTTTGTCAAAACTCTTCTTCTTGTGGCTTTTGTATGAGCTTTTTTTTTAAACACTTGTTACATTATCAACAGGGTGTTGCCTTGTTAAACACGGTACTCAAACCACCTTCTTTATGTTGTACTTTGGGGTTTTAACTGTTCTTTGATGGCTGTTGGCCCTTTGATGTCTAAGTTTATATAAAATGTCTCAGCCAGGTAAACAATAGAATTAAATATGGGAAAAACTAA